CTAGAGATCACAGGTGGACACCTGTGCAGGCGGGAGTCAGGGGTTTGGCTCAAACTGGTCTGAGTGGCCTGGGCTGGCTGGAGATCTTGTTGGGGCAGTTGCTACTGCTGGCAGGGTGGTTTTGCTTTCCATTTGCCTGAGTTAAGGGATAAGCTGGAAAGAAGAGCTTAAGGAAGAATGTGGGACAAAGGTCCTTGAGTGCAAGCAGGTGGGCAGTAAAGGAGAGGACTTGGGGTCCAGCTGGCGACATAACCAAGGAACTAGGGACTGGGGGAAGGATGAACCAGCAGACCTCAAAGAATGGAGACTGTGGGCTGATTTCAAAACCAGTGGGATACTGTACCTGCCCACCAGCAGTTCCCAATGTGGAATCGGAGGACAGAAACGAAGACTGGGGTTTGGGTTACTCGGACTGTGCAGTGGAAGCCCCTGAGGACACCACAAGCAATTCCCAGCATGGACAACACCAGCAGACTCCACTGGGGGAGACTGCAGACTGGAATTGGGGAAAGGACAAAGCCAGCAAACTCCAGTAAATAGGAACAGCAGATTAGAATGCGGGAAGGGACTCCCATGTGGAACTGCAGAATGAACCAGGGCGGAGGGACTGGTGTTCTGTTGGAACCTCCCATCAGTCTAGACTGACCCATTAAGTGGAATGGAAAGCTGATCAGGAGCTTGAATGCAGAGTGAAACTCCAACCAAGAGGGACTCACCAAGGGCCCTTAGAAATGGCGAGAAAGACAGTGAACTCAGAAAGGGTCACAGGCCCCATGCCTGTTTCTCGTTTCCCTGAATGCTGTTAGAAGTTCGTTTCAGATCCCAATGCTGCCACCCAATCTGTTAAACAAGTCAATTTGAAGATATAATTGGCTTTATTAATCGATTCATGAATCATGCAGCACCCCTATCCTGTGAGTAGATGGGAACTCCAAAGAGCTGAAGAGAAGGAAAGGTTTTAAAAGCCAGGACAAGGAAGCAAGGAAGTCATAAACAGAAAAAAGGATGATTTTAGGTGAGGTCATCTTCATTTGGGGACAAATGGGTCCTTTTATGTGGATTGGGGGATAGAGAGGGTCCATGTGACAGATGACTTCATTGGTTCTGATCAGAAAATTCCTGACTGACCAGGTAAGAATACATTTCTGGGGAAGGCCCTAACAGTCACCTAATACTGTTAGGCATGAAGCCCCAGTTTGGTGACTTGGCCTAAGTGACACCATTTTGGGCCTGTGGTTTTCTTTTTAACACTATGGAAGAAGGGGCTGGGGAGATTCGAATCGTAGCAGGGACTCAACCTGCCATTACTGGCTCAGAAGTTCAGAACATGCCGCCCCAAACACATGGCACTTTGTCATTTTGACTATTTTGAGTGAAAGGCACTTGAAAGACGGCAAATACAAGAAATACACTGATCTTTCTTCTTTTTCTTAAAAGGAGATATTCATTCCTATATGAAAGATGACCTCTCTATTCCAGAAGGTAAATACATTCTAATCATCAAGGACGGGAAATTAAGATCAAGGGAAGTCTATACAAACTATTCTTGTTAAAATAATTCTGATCTTGCTTCAGCCTGCCCACCTAGTTGAGTCACTTTTCCACAGTTGCCTCTCTTTGTTCAACCTAATGTAGAAGCAAGTTGGTTTCACAACTTCTTTGGGTACTCATCCCTTATGAAGGTTGTCTGGTCATGAAAATCTTCTTTTAAATAAATTTGTATGCTTTTCTCCTGTTGGTCTGTCTTAGGTTGATTGATTTCATTCTCTAAACCTAAGACATTTAGTAAAGGTAACCTTTTGCCTCTCCTACAAGTCAAAGAATGTGGGTGACCTTAAGAACCTGGGAGGAGCCCTCAGCGGATAGCCAGGAAGAAAATGACAACCACAAGGAACGGAAGCCTGCCAATAACCTGAATGATGAGCAAGGAAAGGGATTCTCCTTTAGAGCCTCCAAAGGATATGCAGCCTTCCACCATATAGATTTTAGCCCTATGATATCTCTATCAGATTTCTAACATACAGATGTGTAAGATAATAAATGTGTATTGTTATAAGCCACAAAATTTATGGTAATCTGTTACAGCATCAATAGAAAGCGAATACAGCAGGAAATGCAGCTTTATCTCATTCATTCATTTACTTATTTATTTAGAGAATAAGTGTGCAGGAGTGGGGAGAAGCAGAGGGGCACAGAGAGGGAGGGAGAGAGAATCCTAAGCAGGCTCCATGTTCAGCCCAGAGCCTGTAGCAGGGCTCAACCCCAAGACCCTGAGATGATGACCCTGAACCAAAATCAAGAGTTGGACGCTCACCTGGCTGGGCCACCCAGGCACCCTATCTTTATTTCACTTAAATCCAAGTTTGTCCAAAGTTGGATCTTCATTCTGCTGCCCTGGCAGGGTATTCAATCCCAGACCTAGACATTACTGAGGTTCTTTCCCTTATCAGTGACATTTAAGGTCTCAAGGATCTTACCGTGTGTTGAAACCTCAGGAAGTCCCCTGAAACTTTTCTCATTTGCTACCACTGAGACGCCACTGTTCCTGTCTTCTTGGCCCCAAGTATTCTGGTGGTTGCCGCAGGATCTTTATGAGGCTGGAAACTGTTCATTCCCTCTAGGCATGCATGAAGTCATTCCCTCATTCCTCCTATCTGGATGTTGCCTCATCTCCTGGGAGCCGTGTGGGAGTTGGGGTAGGACTTTGGTTGCCCTCTGTCCCCCTCCCACTTAGGAGAAATTTTTCCTGTAGCAGTTTTTGCTTTTACCCTAGGGCACTTACCAGCCCTAACAACCCCCCCACCCCTCACCCCCCAGGCTGATAATGTGATGTCTCTAGTGAGTTTTTACCACACACACTCTCCTGAGGCAAACAAGGTTACCTTCTAGGAGTTGGGAGATAAACAATATATAAATTAACATAAAAATAGATTATCTTGCAACATTCTTGCACTCATAAATCAGTAGTGTACCCTAAAGGAGCTTCTGCTCCCCTTCTTGATATCTTGACATTTCTCAGATGTTGGATCCTTGACGTCTATTCTGACCTGAGTCTACCCCAGGATGGTGACCTCACATAAAGTAGCAGCTGCTGGGTAGGTGATACATCTCTTTGGGCTTCTCAAGGTCAGAGTTAACAAACCTGGATATTGGGTGAATTTCTTGCTTTCCAGAGGACGGATGACTCTCTTCGCCCAACTCTGGCTGCATCCCTGCTACATGGGAGTTTTCTTTGATTATGGTCAACGTCTGGGAGAAAGGATTTATTAGAGAAGCAAGGATAGAGCAAGAGACCACTTATGTGTCTATGGCAATATCCTATGCAAGAGAGGATGGGGGCTTGAACCAAGGCAGTAGTAGTAGAAGAGATAAATGATTGCATTTTGGACACTTGGAATTGTACAGCCAATAATCTGATTGGGGGGGTTAAAGGGAGAGCCAAATATAAGTAGGCTGTCAGGACTGATTTGCCCTCACATACCTCACAGTTGGAAGGAACTTTAAATGACATAAGAGAACATTTCATGTCTTGAAACTAGAGAAAAGTGTCTAACGGTTGTCACATGAGAATTTAGTTTTGGCAGTTAAAGAATTAGTTCTCCATCCTAAATCTGCAGCCAATATTTCTTTATTTTCTGATTCATCTCTCTTTCTACAGTCTCTGGGTTTTCATTATTTCCCAATTTCAGCTGACCTATGTGTCAGTTTTTTCTCCCATCCTCCATCCATCACCAGGTGGGTCTTTCAGCTTTTTTCTATCTCTTTCTTAGAGTACTCCAAAAGAAATGACTGGTGCTGTTTCCAGCAGAAAAGAATGCAAAATAATTATAAACAATAGCCCTGTATTCTATTCATCAGCTTGGTTTTAAGATGACTGAAAACCTAATATTGAAATAAGCACTTTAAGAAATACAATACTGCTCTATTACTGTTAGTGTTGAATCTGCTTTGTTTTCTATTTAATCCTTCATGGCTCTGGAATCAAATAATTATGATTGCAAAACTTAAGATAACTGATGAAAACTAAGTTTAATTTTTTTGTTTAAATGCTGAACACTGGTAGAAGTAACATAGAGTATTAATAAATGAAAAGCATCAGCGCCCATTTTGGGCAGGTACTATTTCTGCTTTCATTCTAAGGTGGACTTCATTTTGGCTTTTCAAAACACTGCAGGCTACATTGCTGTTATCCAGGAGCTGTAAATACTTGGGCAAAGTAGTTATCTTTCTTTCTTTTCTTTTTTTTTTTTTTAAGTAGTTATCTTTTTTCTTCCTTTTTTTTTTTAAAAAAGTTATCTTTGGATGCCTTTTTTTCCCCCCTCATCCACAAAATCTCAGTCCTCTGATTGCTTCCTGATCTTAGGGGCCTCAGAAAACCTAAAAACCTTATTTAAGAAACATTTGGTGTCTAGTGTAAAATTACGCTTGATGCCGAGGAAGAATACCAAGATGTAGAAGACACAGGACACAGCTCCCTGCCTTTCTAGGGAAGAATCTATATGAAATACTGACCAGCCGCGAATCCAGCTGTCAGTACGTACAAACCTCTCCTTTGCTGGCCTTTAACCATCAAGCACACCGGCGCTGCACCTGCGGTATGCACGCAACCAGTTTAAATCTCAGGGTGCCATCCTAAGGTGGAAAATGCAGAATTCCATTTAATTTTCACTTTTAACGGGGAGACATTAAGGAAGGCACATTCGGGTTTTGCTCCCTGAGGTGTCTGCTGGGAGTTTTCCTTTTTTTCCGGTCCCAGAGAGGTTTACCTAGTCCCACCCGCTCCCCAGGACAAGCCACACTTTCCTTCTTGGTTCTAGGTCTAACAGCCCACTGAGCACCGACCAATAGGCTCGTGCCGATTCCGCTGCGGGGCGGGACCTCGAGCCTGGGCTTCGGGGACCCGCCCCCCGTACGTGGCATGCGTGCGTGACGCCGTGCGGCGCGAGGCGGTTTCTCCAGCGTGTGGCGCCCCCCGGCGGCAGCGAGGACTCAATGTGACAGCGAGACCTGAGCGCCTGCCATGGAGCCGCAGAAAGAGGCGCGAACACCCGGGGACCCCGTCGCGCGGTCGTCTGGGCCCTCGAGGTCTCAGACTCCTAACGACGAGGAGCGGCAGGAGGGCGACACAGCGCCGGCGGAGGCTTCCCTGGGCGCGGAGGCGGACGGCGCCTGTGCGGACGCGCTGTGGGAGCTGCCGGTGGAGCCCGCCGAGCGGAGGCCCGAGTGCAGCCGCTGCAGGTGACCGCGGAACGGGGGGCGGGGACTGAGGCCGGCGGCGGCCTTCGGAGGGGGCTGCAGCGCCCCCTGCCGGGAAGGCGGCTGCTCCGGCTCCGCCTAGGGGGAGCGCTGCCTCTGGCGTCGCAGCGTTTGGGTCCGCTGGTGACCTTGGGGATCACTGTGAAATTGCTGTCACAGCCCTTTGGTAAGAAGCCGTTTATCCAAGTTCATGAGTATTTAGCCCGACTTCCTGCAAGATCCCGAGCGTGTCGTGGGATGAGCGGACATGAGTTCGCTGTTGAGAAACTTTAAAGAGTCTAATAGGGGAGGTAAGGGGTAATGTGGTAATACAGTGATGAACACTGTTATGCTCAAGTGACATAGTCATCTCACAGTAAAAAAAAAAAAAGTAAAAATAATTAGAGAACAGAGATAATCAATAGTTAAGATGGCCTTTTGCATTCTGAATTCATTCGGAAGTATTTATTGAGCATCTGTATGGTGCCAAGCATCTGTATGGTGCTAGGTCATGGGAATGCAGGCATGGATGAAACACATTGTCTCTGCCCTCCTTGGGGCGCTTACAGTCTGATGAAGAGACAGTTTATTAAACAGGCAACAACAGCTAACACTGAACGCTCACAATATGCCCAGTTGTTGCAGTACCTTTCGGGATTACCTCATTGTGCTGGTGTACTTCAGGATGGTGAGGATTGCTTTCCCTGCCTGTTTGCATCTCACGCTGTTTAGATACACGATTCTCTTGACCTTGTGGGTGTTCAGGACCATTTTGCTCGGTTCCTGAAGGTCTCCATCTATCACCTAATTTTCTGTTGCCTTCCACAGTTTTAACCCTTAGATAGCGCCTCTGCTTCCTCACCTGGGAAGAGCTCGGCAGTTTGTCATCACATCCTACACTCCTCTGACAGGGGCTGTCACGAGAGTCACCAGTAACCTCCCTGAGATGAAAACCAGCGGATCCTTTTCTGTTCACGTTTTACTAGACCTCTTGGCAGCATTTTGCATTTGAATACTGACTTCTTTTTTTAAAATTTATTTTTATTATTTTTTAAAGATTTCATTTATTTATTTGAGAGAGAGAGAGAGTGAGCGAGCGAGAGCACAAGCAGTGTGGAGAGGCAGAGGGAGAAGCAGGCTCCCGGCCGAGCAGGGAGCCCACGGTGGGCCTCCATCCCAGGACCCTGGGATCATGACCTGAGCTGAAGGCAGATGCTCAACCACCTGAGCCACCCAGGCACCCCTACCCCGCCTTTAAAAGATTTTATTTATTTGATGGAGAGAGTGAGAGAACACAAGCAGGGGGAGGGAATATACTGACTTCTTGAAACACTGTGTGTCTCTGGCTTCCCTGTGGTTTATCTGACTTGTTTGTCTTAGTCTCCTCTGCCGGTTCGACTCAAACTCTGAATGTTGGGCTTCCTCAGCTCTTGATTCTAGATTCTCTTCCCTTTACAACCCCCACCTTTTCCACAGGTGGCAATGGGTAAATTATCATGGGTAAAATTATCACCTCTACCCCAGTACTTCTAGCCCAGCCCTTTGTCCTCAGCCCCAGACCTATGCTTTCATTTAACCCGTGTTTATCGAATGCTTTGCAAACTCTTGATAATAAAGTGGAATTTGCCCCTGCATAGGCATGTTCAGTCTGTTATTGGCTGCATATTATAAACCAGCAACCAAATATGTAATTACAGAATGGAAAACAAACAACAAACCAACAGTGAAGCAAAGGAATGGGACACTGTGACAGAAAATCGCAGGATGGTGTCAGGGAAGATTTCTGAGGGGGTAGCATTTATCCTGAGATTTGAAAGATGAGAAGGATCCAGTCTGGAGAAAAGCGTTCTGTGAAGGAAAACAGAAGGACAGACTGGTTTAGTGTGTTTACCACTTGACTACTTGGAGTAGCCTTCCTTGGACATTTTGTTCTTTTCCCAGGATTGGCTGGTAAGATCTCAGAGGAAGGTATCTAGAGTGTTAGGATCTTTTTATATCTCCTAAATGTACTATTGAGAGTAGACAATCAATATAGACTTTTGAGGAGGATAAATAATTTGTGTCTAGAAGGGACTGCATATATGAACAGAAGGGGTGTGTGAATACATTTTATTTAAACAAGTTCCCTAGGGCGCCTGGGTGGCTCAGATGGTTGAGCATCTGCCTTCGGCTCAGGTCATGATCCCAGGGTCCTGGGATCGAGTCCCGCATCGGGCTCCCTGCTCCTTGGGAGCCTGCTTCTCCCTCTGCCTCTCTCTCTCTCTCTCTCTGTCTCTCATGAATAAATAAATAAATAAATAAATCTTTAATCAAGTTCCCTAAAGGTGTTAGGAGATAACACTTAATGCTGCAAAGGGGTCTCAACAGGATACTGATAGAAAAGTATTTCAAATATAAATCCGAGGCTAAATTATCATGCTAGCTTTGTCATGTAGCTTTTAGTTTATTCAGACCTGCTAATTATAAATGCTCTATGCACTTTTTTAAAAAAGCAAACGAGTCTCCTACATTTAGCAACAATTTGTAGTTTTTCTGATCTGCTCCCCCCTCCACTTAATAGACTTTATTTTTAATTTTTATTTATTTATTTATTTATTTTTAAAGATTTTATTTATGTCCATGACAAAGATAGAGACAGAGCAGGAACCAAGCAGGAGGAGTGGGAAAGGGAGAAGCAGGCTCCTGCTGAGCAGGGAGCCCGATGCGGGGCTCGATCCCAGGACCCTGGGATCATGACCTGAGCTAAAGGCAGACGCTTAGCGACTGAGCCACCCAGGTGCCCCTTAATAGACTTTATTTTTTAGAGAGGTCTTAGATTCACGGCAAAATTGAGTGAAAGGAGAAGCGACCTCCTATATATCCTCTGTCCCCACCTGCTTCCCCCATTATCAGCATCCCCTGCCAGAGTAGTACATTTGCTAAATTGGATGAACATCATCATAACTTAGTGTCCATAGTTTTACGTTAGGGTTTACTCTTGGAATTGTTTTGCTTTTGGATTACTTTATAATAATATGTATCTCCACTATTATAGTATAATATGGAGGATTTTCACTGTCCTAAAAATTCTCTTTGCTCTGCCTTTTATCCCTCCTTATACCCTAACCTAATCTGCTTTTAAAAAAATAAAAATGACTTGGATTTTAGCTTGTTTTCAGTTACATTTAGTTGGTATTTTAGGATTATGATTCATTCTGACATTTCTGCACTTTGCATTTTCTAGTGAAATTTTGTACCTTTTAAAAGCTCTTCTCCCCCTTGGCATAGTATGCATTTTATTTATTTTAATTGGTTAGATTACAGTTCTAGAAATATGGAGAGTATTTAGGTGTTATTAGTAAAATATAAGCTAATTGATGGGTCTTTATATTTTATTTCATTAAGCTTTGGGGGTTTTACTAGTTTCGTGGGTGAACTTATCTACACTTACGCTTATAATAGCTTTTAAAACTAAAATGCTTTCTTAGATTTGAGTGATCAACAAGTTATAATTATTTGGCCATTTACTTAAAACAGTATTCATTTCTCTAAACATATTATTATAATTGTCATCGCCTAGGGAGTTCCAAAAATTGGTTTTATTCAGGCAGTACAAACTCAGTTTAACTTCAGAGCAGAATCTTACTAGTTGTAAATACAAGATTTCTTAAACATGAACAGGATATTCTTTTAAAAGATCCCAAACTGATTTATTATTGCTAGATACTTATTTTATTAGGAGTGTGTTCCTGTGAAGGGGACAGGATGTACAGAGGTACAGTGTATAGAGAAGAGTATATTTGGAGAGCTCGGTGGAAAGGAGGGAGAGGAGAGAGAGCTGGAGAGATTAGTAGTGGTTGCGTTGGGAAGGGCCATGTAAGCTATTTTAAGGAGGTTAAGAGGAATTCAGCCTAATGTACTTGCATCCAACAAACCAAGCACTGGAATATTTTTTTATTTGGATCGTTGTCACAAGTGTGACTTCATTAGGTGACTTGTAGCTGTAATAATTTATATTCAATTTTATTAAAAGTTGCAGACTTGTGATTTGGTGGTAAAAGTCTTGACTGGGAAGAGTTGGAACCTCATTCTAGTAAAGATGCTAGGCGTCTTAATTATACTCTTATATCTTCTACAGATACTGCCATGAGCCTGAGGATAGAAACCTGAGAGTTAGAAACCAGTGGCAAATCATTGGTCCTTAGGATAATGGAATAATATTAAAGCATAGGGTGTTTTTTAATTGAGGGAGGGAAACAGCAGCAAAGGGCATGCACACAGACTGACACAGCTAAGCCATGAGACAGAATTTTTTTCTCTCTCCAATGCTTTCTTCTCCCCAAAGTACAAAACTGTAAGGTTTATAATATACCACACTAGTATATTTAGCACTCATTTAATTACGTGCTGACCATGTGCAGGTTACCTACCAGGCCTAGGTATTTTATATGCAAGATTTTATTTATTTCTCATAACAACAATTCTAGAGTTACATTGTTAGCTTTTATTTTTTATTTAAAAACATTTTTTTAAAGTTTTTTATTTATTTGCCTAATCTCTGCACCCCATGTGGGACTTGAACTCATGACCCTGAGATCAAGAGTCACAGCTCTGACTGAGCTGGCCAGGTGCCCCTGTATCGTTAGGTATTAAATGATGAGGAGATGCAACATCCAAAAAACAAATAATTAGATTAAAATGGGCAGAGGACCTAAATAGATATTTTTTCACAGAAGACATACAAATGGTCAACGCACACATGAAAAGATGATCACTCATCATCACTCATCATCAGGGAAATACAAGTCAAAACCACAATGAGACATTACTTTATACCCTTCAGAAGGGCTAGGATCAAAAAGTCAAGAAATAGCAAGTATTGGTGAGGATGTGGAGACAAGGAACCCTCGTGCACTGCTGGTAGGAATGTAAATTGGTGTAGGCACTGTGGAAAACAGTATGGAGGTTCCTCAAAAAATTAATAATAGAAACACCATGTGATCCACTAATTCCACTACTTGATT